ATCAAAAATACGCTGCAATATTCTGAGAGTTTCTTTCGTGGGCCAACCCTCATATTCTTGTGTTAGTTGCCTTAATGCGAATGCTTTGAGAGGGTTAAAGTTAGCTTTCTTTCTGTTAATGCTCCATTTGACTCAACAGCACTATCGTATTGTTGAGGAGGTAAATAAATGTACGTCTAGTGAAAAGGAAGAGATAGCATTTTTGAGTATCTGGAAAGTTTTCAACTTGAATTAATTCTTGTGTCTAGTTGAAAAGTGATTATGATGGTATCTATTCGGTTTTACACCGGTCATTTTGCACTTGATTTATTATTCCTTTTTAGGAATGGTAAGTAATGCCCAATATGCCATTTGCCAATCGTGAGAATGTTCCTTGTGCAATTTGATATTTTTGATTTGCTTTGTTCTGCGTTGCTGTGTGAGATCATCTTAATTGGATCACAGTTATTTTGGACAAATTTTATGTGTGCCATGATTTGCATGTTAGGTACTATTGTAGTAATAACGCACCTTCCTATCGTTATTTATAGGTCTGCTGAGTCTTCACATGGCTCAAAAAACTTATCTTCCCCATGAGATGAAGACTAACGGACATAGTGGTCGTTACTAGCAGACATAGCGGACGTGCTAGTCAGTTTTATGAAATGAACAACATAAACAACCATGCTAGCAGTTATGATGTAGTGAATCACTTCAACCCGTTCAGAAAACACAGGATGAATCACAATAACAAACATAATACATAAATACTATTGGTATCATGTCTAAAGACATTTAAAATATTTCCGTTTCATTGTAAAAAGATAAATGTTAGCTGTAGCACCGTGATTTTGGCCAAAAAACATAATGTAGGTGAAAATATTTGGATAGCACGCTGGAACAAAATTCTGCATCATATCGAGGTTAGCTATCACTTGAACCACTTAAAATGTTTTATTGATCAGAATTGTCACCGGAAGTTCTCCATTTACACTTCTGAATCTTGTCTCACAAAAAACAAACTGCGCTATCCCATTTATCAAAATGGGTGATGAATGAATAGTAGATTAGAACAGTGCTTTTGAATGTGACTAAAACATCAGGTCATTCCTTTCTATTAACTGTTCCATGGTTACAAATCAATAAATCACTTTCATTCCAGTAGCTCATTGTACACAACATTTCTTGTGTATACTTCACCATTCTCATGCTTTCCTTGGTCTCCATTGTCAGCAACATACACCCTTAGACCGTTTACATAGCACACTCTCGACAATACGTGCAACTGACTATGCACAAAGACTGGGCTGTGCAGATAAACACCTACCTTGTCAAATGACTGGCCCTGTAACTTGTGGATTGTCATCGCAAACGAAAGAAGAACCGGAAACTGTCTTCTCTTGAGTATGAATGGCAGCTGTGTCTCGCTCGGTGCCATATAGATCCTTGGTATGGCTGCCCTGCTACCTCTCCTGGATCCGGTTACAATAGTAGCTATGATGAAGTTTGTATGGAGTTCATCAACCACCAGGCGTGTGCCATTGAGCAGGCCATTGGCTGGATCAAGGTTGCGCAATAGCATTATCAACGCACCCCTTTTTAGAACTAACTTGTGCGGTGGCATTCCTGAAGGCTGCTGCTTGTTGAGAAAGTCTAACGGATAGTTCGCAACAACATCATTGTCCTCTGTGACAATATAGTCTGCACTCGTGTATGTTACTTCGTTGCCGATCATCAAGTCAAGGACCCTGTCATTGATTTCCTTTGCAGCATCGTTGTTTGTTGTGAGTATAGTTCTGTTTGTCAGATCTTCGCTGTCAGCCATGTTGGCAACATCACCATATGTCTCGTTAACGATGTCATCGCACATGCCGTCAACATAGTCGTTGAACAGCCCAAGTGCATCATACGGTCCGTTGAACACACAGATGTATGCGAACAGCTTTCTGATGTGGTCAGATGTCTCTGTCATTGCAGCTTCGCCCAGCACGTTCTTCCATTCACTGTCATCCTGCAAAAGATTTCTTGCCCTTGCTGCTTCCTCGAATGTGCCACATACAACATTGTTTGCACTTCTTAAGTTGTCGAATAACGTTGCACCTCTCACATTGAGCAAGAGCATTCTCAGATAGAATCTCTCCTTTTCCTCTGGATTGACCGCATACAATCTTGTAATGACTTTGTCATCACCCCGCTGTCGCAATACCCATCGGCTGTTCTGGTACACATAGTGATATGGAATGTCGGTGTAGAGATATTGTCTGATTATTTTTTACTGCTACTGGTATTATTTTTTTAGGGCATGCACAATATCGAAGTGCTTTTTTAAGAACTGTGCACAGAGCACAGGAACATTTTGCAGACTCTCGTAGGTTCGATCAATAAATAAAGCTTTGCCGCGGTATACAATCAGCTGATTATCTACAGCACAGACAAAACCACCAGGATTTAACAATTGTGTTTTTTCCACCAAAAACTTTTCAGTCGGTGTATTGTCACAATCTGGATACATAATGCATCGACTTCTTAACTTACTTATAGTTTTGATTCTTCCAGAAAAATGAATATTAGTCAATGATGAGAACATACAAACTGTTCACAAAAACATCTATTTGATTGTGGTGTTATGTTCTGTTACATTGACCAAAAACACATTGTTACATCCATTTCTTTGTATTGCAGATGTATTTAATTCTTTTTCTGGTAAATCATCAACATATACTGTGAATGCTATCATAATTTGCAACAATGTTGAGGAAATCAAACAAAAGTTAAAAGTGCAGATATGTTATTTATTTTATGCATTTTGCTTAGACGTGGTGGTGTTCATAAAAACAGCCAACTAAATATTGGTAGGGGTGGAATAAATAAAAATAGAATGAAAATATTGTTTGTAAATAGTGGCTGAGAGTGTGGCAGAAAGAATGAGCTGCACAACAATTTTGACTCTTCATGCAGTGCAAATACGTGAAACAAAATTTTTTTATTTTTCTCGAAGGGTCAAATAATTTACTTTCCAGAATTGACCAATCATCTTTCGAGTTGTCTTTTTATTTATATGAGAATTGATGAGAAAAACAGGTCTATTTTGTGTGATCGATGCCATAAACAAGAAAAGAATACACTAAACTTGTAAAATGTGTGCAGCAGTATTGTTAATGTCAAAAAAAATCATAATTTAATGCTGGCATTCTCCTCTAATCACATGACTGTTCACATGTGAGATGGACAAAAAGCATGTACTGATAAGAATGAAATTCCTTATCATTTTTGCAAATTTAAAACTATAAAAGGAAAGAATTCTATGGATCCCATGTTTTTTTTCAATAACTTGTTTTTGATCCATCAATTGTTATGTGCCAACATAGATGGTGGAGAGAGTGATGACGGTTCAAAATATGTGTATACAGAGGAACAACTTATGGATGATATTAAGCACTTACTGGATGGACCTAAGCAAGAATCAGAAAAAAGATGTGCCCGTATTGTAAAATATCTCAAAGATCTAAACTATCAAACGCTGGGTAAGGATCTAGAAAGGAGAGCGTACAAGGGATTACCAATACTCTATCACGAGCTCCCAAAGGCAATACAATTCGTCTATAAGGCAGAGAAGTTCAGCTTATACTTTTCTGCTCAACAGGAAGGTAATGTAGAGCCAAGGGAGGGATTGAAAGTTTTTATTAAGGAAACGAAGATTGAGATGATGAAAGGTGTTTTTAAAGAACTCAACCGTGTATATTTGACGGTTGTTGTTCGTAGTTCCCTACAAAATTTATCTGATGTCGATCTTGGAGATACAATGCAGCAATTTGATTTCATTACCGATTTATATCTTCTAAATTTGACACATGAATATACTAGTTGGGACTGTGTATCTTATAATACAGTGCAAGATTTTATTAGTCTCGAAACGATTCCAAGATTACGTACACTTAAAGTGAAACATATGTTAGTTACGGATGAGTTTCTAGAGAAAGTGAGTAACATGACACTAGAAAGTCTATGGTTTACTGGATGTGTTTTTCTCACTTCCAAAGGTACTGTGCAACAATCAGGAGAAATTGAGGTGACTTTTGCAAAGTCTTATGAGACTATCTGCTTCGATAAATGCAGGAGGAGTTTTTACTATCAACTGCGTCTGGCACATAAAGAAAAAGCAATAATCAAAGTCAATCTAAATAAATGCGTAAAACTACGCAATCTGACGGTAAACATGGATTACTATGTGAGTGTCATACTCAATAAACAAATAGTAGATGATCTGCGGTATTTATCATTAGGTAAAAAGAACCGTAAACTGCCACTTTCGTCTTCTCAGTGTTATGATGCTAGACTAGAGTATTTAACAATTGACACGGAAGATGTAGAGCTCGCTGTCAATTTTCTAAAGGAAATCAACCGAAGCAAACTTAAGCATTTAGTATTAATTTGTTTTATTTATGATATTTCCAATTTATTTAACCTAGAATTTGCCGCTCTTGAAGTTTTAGAAATTGGTGCTAGCAATAGTAATTTGGAGTTGAAGGATAAAAGCACAATTGTAGTAAAAATGGAAAAGTTAGAAACACTGAAAATTGATTGCAGGTATGTAAGTGAAGCGTTCATGCAAATGATAACTGAGTTGGAAATGTTGAAACATCTTGAAATTCTTGTTGCGAATTGGTATTTTGGTCAAAAAATTTTACGGAAACAACTAAGCAATTTAAAAGGACCAATAGAAAAACTCTTCGTTAGCTCTGAGCTGACCATTGGTGAACTGGTAAGGTCGATAGAGCCTTTAAAAACGCTAAAAGAATTTCGCATAGACGGTAGATCCATTCGGTCATCATTTGATAGCCTCGCCAATCGAAATGATGGTAAATTTCAATCTGCAAAAGTTGACGCAAACGAACAGAATTTAGTGGTGAGCAAGAATGTGGTGCATCTAAAACTCCACACTCTTCATATTGACATGGGTTTAGCACAAAAAGAACTAATCCAACTTATGTTGTGTCAATATTTTGAAGCTTTCGCAGATATTAAGAAACTGGTGATTGACGTAATACCAAAACGTCCAGGAGTAATTCAAAAATTGTTCGGAAGTATGCAAAAGCAGTTCAAATACTTGATAAAAAGCATTTTCGAGACGTTCAAACAACTTGATGTACTTGTGTTCTGTTATAAGAGTTCTCACATATCTAGAGAAGAAGCGCATATTCTTCGTAAGCTTTTTTCGTCGAGATGTAGATCTCTTAAGGAACGATGCGAGTGGTCAGATAAGTGCGATGAAGAACAAATAATTTTCGAGCTTCATAAGTAAAAATTAAGTTATTTTTCGATATTCTGGTGCTGATCATTTCTCTTTCATGATTGTAATGATCTCAGGTTTCATTGTTCATGGTATTCAAGCAATCTATAACATATTAATGACATGTGCCAACAGCAGAATGAATGATGTTATCGATCTAAACACAATGTATTGTGTCTCCTGCATATGATCAACGCCATTGCTGCAGAAAATTTGTTGATATAAACAATTAAGGTCTTTGTTGATCCGTAAAGCGATTTAAAACCGCTTGTGTTGAGATAACTGCTCTGTCATGTTAACAGTAATGAAGTATTTACCAAAAATAAAAGCTGGTATAATGTTGTGATCTATTCGAACATACTACGGATAACATGTCATTCAAGAAAGCAATTCGTACCGTATGTTGTGAGATAGTCTAGCTGTCATGCACCGATAAAACGTGACAAGCAATTTTAGATTTGCTAATTTTATTAATTCACCTTTATTGTTCTAGAAAATTGTTGCTGTTAATCGGGCAATTGATGAGCTGCATTAATAAATGCATGTTGGCACATTCATGTTTGTCTATTGCCTGACAGATATTGACAGGAGAAATCGGTTGTTCTGTGAAAGTATGAGAGAGAAACAATATGGCATCTCTTCTAAGAATAATAACAATAAGTTGAGCATCGAATACGCTTTCCTGACTGGATGTTAAATTACCAAGAATCACATTTATCTGCA